CCCCCCCCCCTCCCCCTACCCCATATGACTCTCTTAAACAAAGTTCGTTTGCGTTTCGTAATGTAAAAAACAAATTTTTTTTATTTTAATTGTATTTATTTTTTGTTTTCTTTTTTATTTTTACGTGGGTTTGAAATATGAAGATTGCAATAAAGTTGATACAGGGAGGTATGGATTTTGTCTGTCTTTTATTATTATTATTATTATTATTTTGTTAAGGATTGATAATTTGTAATAATAATTGTTTAATTATTACATATGTTTATAATATTTCTAATATAATTTGAAATTGAAAAGGTAGAAAGGTATATTAAGAAATAAATTTCAAACGAATAGATAATTAAAATAATAGATTACCTATAAATTAATAATATTTTTTAAAGATATATTTCTAAATAATATTATATAGTACAATCCTATAATATATTTGTATAATATAATATTATTTATACGATAAATAACATAATAGTAACAAAACAAAGAATCAAAATCAAAAGTGTCTTATAATACATTTGAAAGTAGTAAAAGTTGGTCAGACATGGTCGAGTAGTTCCTTTCGTATGCAACCCTGTATACATCGAAGTAATTTAAAAACACGTAGGAGTTAGTAGTCATGCTATGAGCCAACAGGGTGAATCCCCCTGACAGAAGTGGCGCCTTTAACGGGAACACCCCACGTGTATCTCTAACGAAGAAAAGGTTCTAACATAAGAGAAAAATAGACGAATATTTTCCACAACAATCTAATCAATCTAAATAAACAAAACAAACAAATAAACAAAATGGACAATAATGAAAGAGACAGATTTAAAGAAAGAAAACGAACAAAATACAGAAAGCAAGAAAAAGAAAGAGAAAAATGAGATTTTGTGGAGACGACTGACTGACTGAGTGAGTGAGTGAGTGAGTGAGTGAGTGAGTGAGTAAGTGTACTTGTAAGAAGGTGTCGCGATGGTGGAAGAAGAAGAAGAAGAAGAAGAAGAAGAAGGATGAGGAAGAGGAGAAGAAGGAGGTTGAAAAAGAGGAAGAGAAGGAGGGAGTTTAGTGTTGCTTTAGATGGGTGGGGGGTAGGTGGGAGACGGGGAGGGCTGTTGCGACGCCGGGCGTCCGGTGATCGCGCCTTAAAAGGTTCGACGCCGCACGCGCCCAACAGCTGCCAGCTCTCCTTCGTTCCTCTCGTCTTCTTTCCTCCTCTTCTTTTTCACTCTACTCTCTTTCTCTCTTTCTCTCTCATATACTTTCTCACTCTCCTTGTATCTATCCATCTCTTTTTTACTCAAGGATACGAGTATACTCTTCCCTTTTCCTGAGCATACGCACGCGCGTATTTTCCCTCTCCGTGTGTTGTTATTCTCTTTCTCATTCTCATATAACCATCTCTCTTTTTCTTTCCCGACACGCACACACACACACACACACACACACGCAATCACTCTCTTAAATATGTGTGTTTCAATCTACAAGGTGTTTCATTTTATTCAATATCGATAACATTTTCAACGATCATTGTTATATTAGTCGAATGATATAATAAACAAACAAACAAACAAAATAATAATAAAAATTGTCTTACAATATTAATCGATTAGTTTTAAATACAAATATGATTGATTTTGGTGTAAGAATGATTAACGAGCTTTTTATGATGGATATTTTTTTTTCAAGGTTACATACTTTTTATTTTATTATTTATTAAATGTGCAACGATTTTAAACGAAGCACCTTGTAGAAGAGAGTAGAGTTTAGGCGTTTGTTAGAGGACGAGCTTGAGGATGTACACTTGTGCTTGCTCATACATCTTTCTCTTTTTTTTTAATTTCCTCCTCTTCCACCTACTCCACCACCTTCTCTTCTACTTCTTTCTTCTTCTTCTGAAGTCCTCGTCATCATTATCATCATCATCATCATCATCATCATCATCATCATCATCATCATCCTCGACGTAGTTGTCGTCATCCTACACGTTGACTATGGCACACAGTGTATCCTGCTGCCGGGTATCGCGTTTCAAACTCCACTACCACGTATTCCTAGAGTGAGTGAGTGTAAAAGATGGTGAAGGAGCCAGGGGAAAAGAGGTGATAGGAAGAGGAGGAGGAGGAAGAGGTGGGAAGGAGGAAGGAGGGTGCACACGCGCGTGCAGATGCGTTGACGTGTGTGCAATAGAGCCCCAGTAGCGCAGAACAGCGTCACGGTGCATTATCGAAAGGCCGATGTGCTCTGCAAAAGCCACCCCCTTCTTTAATTTTTTTTTTTTTATTTGCATTGTACTTAGGAGAAGAAAGAATTGGCACCTGATTTCTGGCTTTCGATTCATTCAATTTCAATTTGTGGAATTAGTATCAGTACAGGGGGGTATCAGGCAAAGGGAATTTGGTTTCTGTTTCTGTTTCTTTTCTTTTTTTTTAATTATCATTAATTATCGTCAATTCGATACGTTTGTATTGTAGATAATCATAATCATAGATTTTGAAGTACCTCTATCGTATTTTATAAAAAGGTATCTTTGTTCTTTGTTATCATTAATCAAACGTATCATAGATAAGAGAATATAATGTTTAGGTATATATTAGATGAAGTATTATGTGATTTGTCGAGTAGGGTTTATCTATCATTCACTTGGTTGATTGTAAATATTGTCCATCCTCGTTGTTACTTAAATTTATGAAACAATTACATAAACGTTATAATTTATAGAATTATCAATAATTATTTTAACACACATCGTAGACATAGACGACGATCATAATTAGTACTTAAATTTATCAAATAATTATAAATATTAAAGAACATTATAATTTATTATTTGATCGCGATCATTGATTGTACGTAGGTCGTAGATTTTGTTGATTATAATGTTGGATTAATCGTAATTTTGTAATTGTTCGTGGATTGAGGTAAATAATAGGAGTCATTATAATCAAAGAAGAAATGGTTTTATGTGTATTCGGTATAGATTAATAAAAGACGAAAAAATATATCGGAAAATTGAGAAGAACGTTGAACTAGGCATCTTCCTACCCCACACGTGGCCCCTGTCTGATACCAATGTATGTGGTACATGTGTTTTTTGCTCTCCTACAGAGAGATTTCTCTGTGGGATAAGGAATCTTTTGGTTGCTTCGAGTTGGACATACCATTAGTTCTCCCATCCCCCATTCTTCCCTTTCCTATCTCTTTCTTTTCGTGATGGCACGCGCTATGGTGATCGTGATTCCGGCCATGAGAATTTTCTTTACGATTAAATCAAGACTCACGTTTCTCATTTTTTTTTTTCCAACAGATTTTTTTTGCTTTTATCTCCTTTAAAATCTATACTTGAGATCTTTCTGCGTGCGAATAATAAAGGAAATGTGAGAATAAATATTTGATTTGATTTTCAATACATTTATTTATTACAATAATATTTTAATATATATATAAATATATATACGTGGATATACGTTACGAAACGTTTAGAGTTTCAACGAAAAATATATTTTCATTTATTTATTTATTTATTTATTTTTCTTTTTTATTTGGAAATAAAAATGTAATCGACAAAAAAATTGATTCCACGTTAAACTCGAAACATTTCAACCAACCCACGCAATTGTAAATAATGTTGAGCTTTTGTGAGTATTAAGAAAAGAAAAAAAAAGGAAATTAATGGAAAATATCAATGCAGGATTAAATGTTAATTATTGTTATCGTATTTATTGTTATAATTAATTTAAACAAATTAGATTAACATAGTTGCAGGTATTGTGGTAAAGTTAGGTGAAATTTATTTCGAAAGGATATTAATCCCTACGAAATGGTTTAGGTAGAAATACATAGTTCCCAAAGGATTTTGTTCTAGGTAAAATCGTTATCTATTACGGAGAGATGAAACATCTCAGGAGCATGTTCTCGAATATGAACATGATGAAGATCGTTAAATTCGTATATTCGCATTCGTATCGAACACATTTGGTGAAATTACTTGATTATAGAAATACCGAATGAAATTACGTTGTACATTAACTCTCATGAAAATGATTGATATATGTATAAGTTACAAGGATTTCTTGGAGCATGATTATCATAATCACCGTGTAAAATAATACTCTTTTAATAAACCTCTTATTCGTATTTAATCACTAGAGTTTCATGAAACATTTCTAACGAATTCCATACACGTGATTTGCACTTCTCCAATACTACAAACTATCGAAATATATTATAATTGATTTTGAAATTATTATCGAATGGATTAAATAATCCAAACATATTTATCATATAAATATGTGTGTGTGTTGGTAATTATGAAAGTGGAATAAATAAAAAATTGATTATTACGATTAACACACACGAGTATTAGTTGCAAAATGATGAGTTTATTCTTTTCTAACGAGAATCATATTGACAAAAAAGTACAAATAAATTTAAACCGAAAAAAAAAAAAAATAATTATTATCTATGGTAAATTACAAAATTTTCAACCCATACTACCTCTGATACGATTAAATATAAAATAAATTATATTATCGGATAAATTTCCATTAACTTTTTTTTTTATTTTTTTTTTTTTTTTAATTCACTCCACGTAGAAAATAATCGGTACGTATAAATATCGATACAAGCGCGTGTACGAAAGGGTTAGGATAATTGATAGTAAAGACCATATCGAGTTTATGTTGTACCAGAGGGAATTCGTTTAGGAAGGAAGAAGGGGAGCAAGATGGGTGGGGGGTTATGAGGAGCGAGGAGAGAGCAGGTGTATGCGGTTCGGAAAGCTTTTCCATAGTTTGAAGGGGGAGGAAGGTTTGGTCGTCGAAAACACATACACATGTATGTATAGTACACACGTATGAAGAGAGCAAGAGGGAGAGAGTTACAAACAGTTAAGAGGGAGAAGAAGAAGATAGCATAGAGTAAGAGAGAGAGAGAGAGAGAGAGAGAGAGAGAGAGTATGGGCACACGTCACTTACTCGAAGCACGTGCTCTGCTTTCTGGCGGCTGCTCCTGCTCAGCCTCAGACTCCGGAGCCCTGGTGCCTGCGTTTAAATTTAGCCAGCGAGCTTTAACTTCGCCGTGTCATAGGACAAAGAATATGGCGCGCTGCACTCGCACCAATATGATTCCTCCTCCTTCTACTTCACCCCCTCTTCCTTTTCCTTCTTCTTCTTCTTCTACTTCTACTTCTTCTACTTCTTCTTCTTCTTCTTCTTCTTCTTCTTCTTCTTCTTCTTCTTCTTCTTCTTCTTCTTCTTCTTCTTCTNCTTCTTCTTCTTCTTCTTCTTCTTCTTCTTCTTCTTCTTCTTCTTCTTCTTCTTCTACTTCTTCTTCTTCTTCTTCTTCTTCTTCTTCTTCTTCTACTTCTACTCCATTCTTCTCTTCCATTCGTCGAAAGCCCACGCATTTTTTTAATATATTTTATTTGTCAACTAAACTTTTACCCCAACTTCGTATTCCAGATATTATACCTTACCTTAGTGTTGTTAACGAACGATAATTAAATCGTCTTACGTTTCATGATTTTAATAAGAGAGAAATAATTATGAAAAATATGAGAATATTAGTTTTGTTTTCTTTATATTTTGTCTTTGTTCATATATATATATTGGAATATTTTATGAGAACCGATGCAGCGTGCAATCGCTTCCTCTTTTTTTTAATTCTCTCTCTCTCTTTTTCTCTTTTTCTCTTTCTCTCTTTCTCATACTCTCTCACTTTTCTTGTCTTTCTTTTTTTTTTGTGAATAGAATATTTCCTTTTGTCGAGAACGAGCGTTCTCAATATTTTTTTGCGGACAGGAAGTCGATGCACGAACACCGTTGGACTCGCGAGAAGCAATGACGTAGGTAATGTGTTCATCGATCAAATACATGTGTGTGTATGTGTGTGTTCTATCTATCTCTTTCTCTCTTTCTATCGTTCAATTTTTCTTATTCGCTTTTGTATGCACATACGTACAATGTATAAGCAGGCAAACTCTTTCTATCTCTATCTTCCTTTTTCTCTCTCTCTCTCTCTCTCTCTCTTTATTTCTCTTTCGTATCTGTCTTGACCAAGTGAAACGTACTTTGACTAGACACGTTCTTGCTGATGTTCTAGCGATATCATCCAAGCATCGGTTCTGGCTGCTTGCTTCCATTCAACGCAAGACGCACCACACCAAGTTTATAAGATTAACACGTGTAAATTCACCCTAAGTAAATTGCAGCCTGCATCTCGGAATTATTATTTGTTTCTTCTCGTCCTACCTATCTTCTCCTAACTATTAAACTATCTATCTGTCTATCTATCTATCTATCTATCTATCTATCTATCTATCTATCTATTTATTTATTTAATGTAGGAACGAAAGAACTTTTTGTACTTTGGCATTTCCGTGTTACGTAGATGAAAAATTTCGTTTAACGACCTCTACATTTCACCTACGTCAACTTATATTACGAACGATCGCGTGCTAACAGTTAAAGAGATAATAATTGAAGATAATTGATAAATATCAAGGTAGAGAGTTAGCGTGTAACAAAACTCGTGTAATCGATCGATTCTCTATTACATACCTTCAAATTTTCATCAATTTTATTTTACTCGATATATATTCGACGATATTATATTAACTAACGTCAGTTGATACTAATTATGATTAGTTTTTGGTAGCTTGTAAAAGGCCAAATTTACTAGTAGCAAACTTTAGAATGTCAGTTGATAGATAGAAGATATATTACTACTCGCTTGAAGATTACATTTGACATTTAAGATGATTCAGCTGGCCTACGTTAGTCATACAGTCCTCGAAAATACTATTACTCGTGTTAGTTGCCATTTAATGCGAAATAATAAATTCATCCGCATCCGCCACAATCCTACTATAATCGTATTATTAAATTCATCTAAATCAATCTAATCTCGATAGGTTTATTCGACAATAAATAAATAAAATTATTTCTCATCGAAATTCTAGTTTTTCAATCGACGACAACGTGAATTGAATCAATCGAAAATTTGTGAATATTTTCGTTGAAATATTAAATAGAACAAAATCAAATAGAAAATTAGAAAATTACTAACTCCCTGTGCGGATTCTACGGAGGAGATGGGTCAAAGTGAAAGAAATTTTATTCGAATTTTGGTATGTTAGCAAAGATTGGTTTAGTATTAGTAACAGAGAAGTAGGAGGAGTAGGAGGGGTGGTAATGGTGGTGTTGTTGGTGGTGGAATAATTTAACGGAGAAAGAAACATGGTAGGCAAAATCTCGCACGTGTGCACGCGCGTTGCTCTGTTGGGGATGCTGAGTTCGGCCCTCCTGGACCGTGCGGTCGTTTCGAAACGGAGGAGACGTTCGGAGAGAAAGTTTATATGCGTGGCAAGACGTGAACAGAGGAAAGAGAAAGAGAAAAAGAAAGACAGAAAGAAAGGGTGACTAGAACGAGGAAAGAGAGAGAGAGAAAGAGAGAGAGAGAGAAAAAGCAGAGAAAAAAAGTAGAGAAAGAGAAAGAGAGGGATGACACGACGCGCATTGCAGCCGGCTGCTGTGCCGTCAGCTGCCGACAGATTTATCGAGTGGCACGTGCCGATTCGGAGCAATGTCGTTTTATACTTTCCTGTTTTCTGCCGGTTCTCAAACATACGTAGAAGAACCTTATCCGATCACAAAAACTTCTTCTTCTCTTCGTCTATCCTTTCCTTTTTTTGTCTTTTGCTTTTTTATCTTCTATTTTATATTTTCTCTTTTTTATTTCCTCCATATTTTTCCTAGGCAATTTTTTCCTTCAACTTTTTACGAATAATAAATGCGAAGTAGTGTTTTTTTTGTTGTTGTTGTTGTTGGTTTTTTCATTATTTTTTTTTTTTTTCCTTTAGAAATCACGTAACTCTCTCGTCGATCGGTTACGATTGAACATATATATTCTCTCTCTCTCTCTCGAATTGATTTATAAACGTGGAATTTAATATTGATCCATTGAAATTTGATGAGATATGAAAGTTTATCTAACATTATATATTTGTTTTAATCGTCAATTTTGTTAAAGCTCGTTTTTATCATCGTTGGGGATGATTGGGTTCCTCGTGGATGGAGTAATATATAGGAACGAGTATCGATTTTCTTCGTCGCTCGGTCATCGGATATTTCGTTCAAATTCTAGTAAATCGGACGTGGAAAAAGGAATTTAAGGGATGAAGAAGAAGAAATTGATAATGAGTAGGAACGAGAGAGAGAGAGAGAGAGAGACAGAGAGATGGAAATGGGGACTACCATTCCCATTGGTTTTTATTCGTAGGAAATATCCAGAAATCGAGTGACGTTTTGTGTCGGTTAAACGTAACGACGATTTTACCGTAAGCGTATCAAAAGTGATTTAAATTAATAACGTTTGCTATTTTGGCGATGCTTCCAGGCTCCGCTAACCCGATTAGTTTCAGATACGGCACTATCGAATCGAAAGAAGAAGAAGAGAGAGAGAGAGAGAGAGAGAGAGAGAAAGATAACGTGACATTAAGAATTCAATGATATCTTGCAGAGAGTAGTGAGATAGCTAGCGAATGGTCGCTGGTTGGTTGGTATGTCGGTGCCATCACGCTAATCACGGAAACTTCGATGTTACGACAGATTTTATAATTGGATGGATTTCTCTTCGGTAGCAAAGAGAGAGAGAGAGAGAGAGAGAGAGAGAGAAGAGTGATATCATTACATTCTGAGAATTGAATTATGTTATGTCACTTATGGATAGATTCTCTTCTCTCTCTCTCTCTATATATATATCTTTCTCGTTTCATCTATCAATCTATCTATCTATCTATATATTTTGCTAGCTATCTAGCTATCTATCTTGTAATCTAATTTATACCGACACTTGCTAAATAAAATAGATATCTATCGTAGCCTCCTAACTCGAATATTCCAATTGTAGATTGTCAGTCACGATATTTCTCTGTTGGCATTAGACAGTGAACGATTAGAGAGAAATTAGGTGATCATAAAGTCAATCTCGATTGATATTTAAATTCCCTTTTTCTTTCATTTTCTTTTTTTTTTTTTTTTTTTTTTTTTTAAGTCTAGAAGAGGAAATCGAAAAAATGCGATATCGATTTATTCCAATACTTCATCGCGATACGTTTGTTTCACGCAAAGTCGACACACCCCTTAAATTGTGTTAACGTTTACTACTGCGTTTGGCTTTCTTCGTAATAACGAACGCATAACTGGCACGCCTATAATTTTGATCAATTTTACGAAATACATTGATTTTCTTCGATGATTTCGATCAATTTCTACTTGACAACAAAATTATCACTTATTATTATTATTATTATTATTATTAATACTTTGTTTCTTTTTTCTTTTCATGTTATATACATACATGGAAACATATATTAATCGATATAATATGATAACTCGAACATTATCAGGAATCACCTGATACACTATGCACTGTGTGATGATCGGACGTTATACCTAAAACGTTGTTAGGTTTATTTTCACAAATATCAATGACACATTGGAACGTTGAAAGATCATTCATCATTTATCATCAACATCATCATCATCATCATCATCATCGTTATCATCATCGTATGGTTTAGGCATAAGGTAGATCGAACATGAGTATTAATCATCGTCAGAAAATAAAGAGAAAGAATGAAAGAAAGAAAGAAAAAGACAATGAGAAGAATAGAGATAGAAAGAGAAGAGGAGGGTTTAAGCATGGGTAGTAGGTTCGTCATCGTCGAGGTATCGTCGCCGCCATCCTTCTTCTTCTTCTTCTTCTTCTTCTTGATCTTTTCGTTGGTCTCTAACGGCGTCAGTGGCTAAACGTCGGTTAGGTTAGAGTGTTTCGTTGGTATCACGTCTTGGAGGTTCGCGCCGGTTGGATATCGGTGCCAAGGAGGCGGTGTGTGGACCACGGTTAGAAGGAGAGTTAGTGTCAGAGAGAGGGAGAAAAGAAGATAGATAGAAAGAGAGAGAGAGAGAGAGAGAGAGAAGGGGTTAGAGGGATGGCGTTGGACTCTTGCGTTCAACATGGTGGAGGAAAAGAGAGAGAAAGAGAAAAGAGAGTAAGCTCTGGTAATAAGAGAAAGAGAGAGAGAGAGAGAGAGAGAGAGAGAATAAGTGAGAGAACGAAGAGAGGAAAGGGGCTTGCTCCTATATCGTTGGTATTTTGGTTTTGGCTCGGATCAGCCCGCGCAGTTCTGGGAGTGGAGTTCTAAAAACAGCAGAGGTAAGTCCTGCCGTGCTTGCAGCTGCCCGCTTCTCGGCGCTCCGAGCTTCTCTCTTCTTATACACCGCCTTGCTTTTGCTCTATTACACATCCTCCTCGTGTCCTGGACCAGTTCGAGGAGACATCAAAGATATTATTATTACTATCATCGATATTACTTTTTTTATTTTATATCATTATTCTACTTCTTCCATTTAATCTCGAAGAAGCTTTTGTTTTTTTTTTGGTTTTTTTTTTTTTTCTTAATTCCTCTCTAAGCAAATTCTTTTTTTTTTTTTTTTGATCTGTTTGTCTCGTTTCGAAAACTAATTTCGAAATATTATTATTATTTATATATGGAAGAAATAATCATGTTTTTTCCCCTCCCTGTGAAAATCTTTGTCGCTTATGATTTATCATTCCTACCTACACCCTTTTCTCTCCCTCCCTTCCTCCCTCCCTCTCTCTCTCTTTCTTACCTCGGTTGTTGTCGCCTCTTAATCTCTCAAAATCCGATTATTCGTAACACTTTGAATTCACATATTTTCGTTGCACTTGTTCCTCCTTATTATTATTATTATTATTTTCTTATATTGTTATCTTCTTCTTCATTGTCTTTCCTTTTTTTCATTATCATTATAATAAATAATAATAAATATTTATTCGATAAATAAATAGAGAATTGAGATTGATCACGCACCTATATAATCACAATCCGAGGTGATAATCTTCTCTATCGGGTTAACAGGGAGGACACCCACCGATGCCACTCGGGGTTCTTCTTCTTCGCCAGCGAGAGTTCCACTCCGCACAGTTCGGCCCGGTCGCGATCTCTTCTACCCGGATTTATTTCTTCCCGCCGAAATTATTTTTGGTATCTTTTCCCTCGGTTTGTTAATACTCTCGCCCTCTTCTTCTTCTTCTTCTTCTTCTTCTTCTTCTGCTTCTTCTACTGGCGATACGATGCCTTCTGCCGTACACCTTCTTCACTCGTTCTCTTTTGGATCTACCGACTCTCCTCTCTCTCTCTCTCTCTCTCTTTCTCTTTCTCTTTCTCTTTCTCGTACTCTCTCGTAGTCCTCTCCCTCTGCAACACTCACTCGTCTGCTAAAATCGTATCTTGAAACCACCGACAACGACGACGACGACGACGACGACGACACCAACGACCAAGACGACCAAGACCAAGACGACGATCAAAAGACGTGTGTTACCATTTTATACAATCGGTACACGATTTTAGTTGCTTTGCCGCGCCCACTCTATACGCGTCTCTACCTTATGAGAAGTTTCATTTGATCTCGCGTTTAATTGAAATTATCATCAATTGTAAAAGAATTCCTATCGAGAGATTTGAAAATCTGCGTTACGATTTAACGTTCAGAGAAGAAAGTATCTCTCGTTATGACGTCCAACGTTCAAACGCTTTACACCACCTCTTTTACTTTTTCTCCTTCTCTTCATATTCATCATCATCATCTTCTTCTTTTTCTTCTTCTTCTTCTTCTTCGTTTCACGAGATGTGAACTTCTCCTTGAGAAGTAAGTTTGTTCAGAAGATTTTCTCTCAGCTTCTTCGTTCAAGTTTTTAATGATCTACATATTTATTTATTTATTTATTTATTTATTGTTCTTTTCGTTTTTTCAATTGTACAATTCGTTTAGCATATTTTTCTTTTGTTTTTCTTTTGGCAACGGTTAGAAAGGTGGATGGTAAAAATTTATTCATCTGTGATCGTATTTACGCGTTGAGGATATTAGAATATATGAAATGGGAGAGAATAGGGAGAAATAGGAGGGGCGTAGGATGAAGGGGCAAGGTTGTTGCGTACCTATGACACATTTTAATTCATGAGGAAAATTTCGCGTAAGAAATTTCAAACGAGATAGAATTTTTCCATTGCAAATGACTTCGTCCATCGTTGTGTTGTTGGGTCGTGTGACATTGACGATGACGGCAGCCAGATGTTTCTTACTTCGGGGAAGCTCAAACTCCAGGCACAAAGCCACGTCGTTCGTATCTTTCGTCGCGCACTAATGTAGGCTGACATGAGTTACTTGCTTTAAATCATACAAGAGAAAGAAAGAAAGAGAGAAAGAGAGAGAGATAGAGAGAGAGAGAGAGAGAGAGAGAGAGATTGAACGAAAATTATTGGCAAGTCGAACAATCTGTAAAACATATGATTTTTATTTGAAATATTTTTATTTTTTTTTTTATTTATTTTAAATATTTCCCTTGAATTTGATCGATCAAAAACCATGTTTTCTTGTCTCGTACGTTGATCATTTTATAAACGAGCATTATACGAAACTTATTTTAAAATTCGATTTTCATTCATACATTTTGTTATTTTTAGATAGCTCGAAATTTTGGCTTGATTATATTTCGTGTTCGTTGAAACGTTTTCAAACACAGTATTATTGTAAAAGGGTATTTTTATTTTTATTTTATTTCCTTCTTTTTTATAATCACAAATGCGAATCTGTCTAATCGTGTAAATTCCACGCGTTTTTGGATGGTGTATCGGCACGTTTGATCCAATTTGTCTAATTACATAAGACGATATTGCAATTCGATGACAAATGCATCTGCAAGAGAGAAACAAAGAGAGAGAGAGAGAGAGAGAGAGAGAGAGAGAGNGTAATATATTTAACGAACGAACTTTACCAATAGCGCGTGATTCGTGCGAATATTATGCGAATATAATTGGTGAATTTATTTCTATGTTATTCGTTTGGAGAAGAGATTTTGCAACGATTAAAAATATGTCTGCAAGAGAGAGAAACAAAGAGAGAGAGAGAGAGAGAGAGAGAGAGAGAGAGAGGTAACAATAATGGTTATATACAATTGTTTACGTAATATATTTAACGAACGAACTTTACCAATAGCGCGTGATTCGTGCGAATATTATGCGAATATAATTGGTGAATTTATTTCTATGTTATTCGTTGCAATGAGGTAAACGATCACGAATCGTAATAATTGATAGGTATAATCAAAAATCGATTTCGCGTACATTAATTTTTCTTCTTGATGGACGGTTTGTTTTTTAATCGTTGCCGACATTTTGTTTTCTATTTCATTTATCGTTTGTTTGTTCCCCCCCTCACTTTCCTGGGGGACACTCCCACTTTTAAAAAGATTTCTTTTATTTACATTTTTCACCGACAATGATTCAATAAAATTGCGACAAATAATAAATCATCTTGATTGTTCGATAAGTGCATTCTCCTGTATTATCAAATTCAATCATTTCTTTTAGCGAAATCTAGTGTCAGGAAAAATTTGACTAATCCATGCGTCGTTCGATGAAAAATTGATTAAAACAAAAATTATGATTGATTTGATTTTTATTTATGTTTAATCGTATTATTCCATCGACTTGTGTTTTTTTTTTTTATAAATTTTCCAACGTCGATTGGTAACACTGCTGCATGATCATCGTATAAAGTTGGCGTCATCCCTGAAATTTTTCTCTTTCTCTCTCTCTCTCTCTCTTACTCTCTTACTCTTTTTCTTTTTCTCTTTCTCTCTCTTGCGCGCATACTTTTTCACTTTTGGTTTTGTGCCAAGTGCGCAGAATACGCTATCGTTTCAATGGTCCATCTTTCTTTCTCGTACGAAACTACTTCGATCAGCGAGGAATAAAGTTTGAGATTTTCTCGACAACAAAAAAAATAAGTTTTTCTTTGTTTAACATTTGATTATTTATTGGAAAATTAAACGTTTCATAATAAGAAATATTTCGTACTTCGATAGAAAGAAAATCAACGTTTCTCATTGATGCATATCCTTTAATAATTTATCTTAATTATATATCAATTAAATTTTATATTATTTTTCATATAGATAATAAAAAATATAAAAGAATAATAATTAATTAACACACAGAGACATAATAATAATAATAATAATTGTTTCATGAACATTCTTTTTTTTTTTTTTTTTACAGATAAGAATAACGATTATAAAAAAACATTTTTATATAATATTAATTGGAAATGACATAAATTGTAAAATATATTTTTCTTTATTTGTAGAGAATTAAAGGAAAAAGAAAAAGTCAGATTTCACTGACGACACACAACAAACACACTTATATACAGTACAAATCCTTTTTTAATCGGCATGAAAAGTTTTTTCTTTTTTTTTTTCTACGATCAAAGATAAATGTAATTATCCGGTTATCCTTTTAAAAGAAAAACAAGTTAAGCTTGCTCTTCCCGTATGTCCTTGTTTCGTGTTGTTGGTCTCGCGAGTGAATTTTCCCGTTTAGGGGAGGAGAAGACGTTCCCTTGGGTAGAGACGACAGGGTGGGCGGATATCCGGTATAGCAACAGACGCCCCTAACCTCGAGAGTGCCGTATAGAAGGGGGAGAGAGAGGGAGAGAGAGTGCCATAGAGATAGATCGTTAGCGATGGTGTTGGTGAAACGGTTTAGCGATGAACGAGGTTTGGCCGCCACCTGGTATTTTCCTTTACATTGGTGTGTATAGTCTTTTAACGGGAAGTCCGACTATTTCTTTCTCTTTATCTATCTATTTCACTCTCTCTCTCTCTCTCTCTCTCTTTTTGACTTTTTTTCTTTTTTTCCTTTCGATCTTCTCGAGGACCTTTACCAGGCACTCGTCAAACCGATATGAGATGAGAAACGTTAGGGTGAACATTTCATAGCATTTCAATCTTCTTCTTCTTCTTCTTCTTCCTCCTCCTCCTTCTCCTCCTCCTCTTCATCATTTTCTTTTTTATTTCCTTCTTTTTTTTTT